TTGGAGAATTAGATTTTGATGTTAAAATTAGAATTCCGAGGCTGCAAAGTGTGGTCTTGTGGTGCAGAGAGGCCAATTTAGACTGTACTAAAGGTATTTTATGTTGTATAATTTATGCTTTGTTTTTAGGTGGAAATCGCAAAGCTGAAGAAAGCTTTTCTGTCTTCTTGAGGTGGTGTGGACCCAGTGTTCTTAATGCTCCAGGGATTTAGGAGCAACACTATGAACTTAACTGACTTGTTAAGACAACAAATGTGGTGTTGTGGTGAAGAAATGAGAGGACATGAACTATGGTATCTATTGAAAAGTTGGGGGGGGGTGACAAATTTTTTTATATATTTTGTTTTGCCAATATGAAAAAAAGAGGCCTTATTTCTTACTGTGCTGGGATAGCAAACATTTCTGTTGTTTGCTTGAAAATACGAGGGATGAGCAAATGAGGAGGGACAGGCTGTAAAATGAGCTCACAAGCACATTTTACATTCCCACATTTACCTCACCAGTGAAACACAGGGACAGTATGAGATTCCTCAGTTGAATGGCTTGTTCAGAGTGGTTGCTTGTAAACAACACAGCCAGAACTTAAATTTGGAGTTTCTGACTCACAACACAGTGATGTGTCCCACCCTGTACATATACCACAACACACACACACACACACACACACACACACACACACATTTTTAACTTCTTACCCAGGGTTACACTGTTGTGCCTGTTTGTCTGCAGTGCTGTTTGTATATTGGGTTATAAAATAGGGATTCCTAGTTACCAGGTTCCTCACCTACCACATAATTAATTATTAATGAAATAACACAAAAAAGTAAATTAAACTTCTAGAGTGTTCTATAATGCTCATACTATAGGATTCATTAAAGGAAGTTAAAATATACTGGATTAAGCTTTGAGAAAATAGGAGCTTTGTTCTCAATTCATGTGGCCTAAGGAATCGAAAAATGTCATGCTAGTTCTTATATGTGCCTAGACACTGCAGCACATGTGGGATATGTAAGCACCAGCCTTATTGCTGTTTCTTATGCTCATTCTGCAGTCTTAAATATAACTCATTTCATTATCTTATATTTAGCTCATTGTATCCTTCCTTAATTTTCACTAATGGTTATCTTAGGAAACAAAGCCTCTAAACCCAGATGTTTTCAAAATTGCAGAATGAGGGTCTATATTGGAACGCTATCATGTAAACACTCAGGCTTTACAGACATAATTCATCTAATAAAACAAATGAACTCCTAGAGATATTTTGGACTGTTACTTATGTAAACCATTAAAAGAGTGTTAGTATTTCACAAATAGTAACATTATAGGTTATATAAATCAAATGTAATTGACCATATTGAAGGTCATTTCAGAATGGATGCTTAGCTATTCTTCAGCATCACAAATCAACAGTTGAACATCTTCAACCAGATCAACTGCATTCAGGGTAGTATGGCTCAGACCAGACAAACATTTAAAAATGTTGTATCTGTAGGGCAACATGTCTAAAAGCAAAGAGGTTAGTTTTAAAATGGGAAATGCTTTTATTTGTTAAAAATCAAAAGTTAGTTTTTAAGGTTTACTTTAGTAAATCAATGAAGGTATCATGCTTCTTAACAAAAAAAAAAAACACAATACTTTTCTTTACATTTTAATCTTAAAATAGAAAAGTCTTTTTTAAATGAGATTTCTTGTGTTGCTTCAAATAGAAGAGAACTGAAGTAGAAAATAATACAATTGCCAACCCCAAATTACACTTGATTAACTTCTGGGGACAGCATTAATTACACATCAAGTGTGCATTCTAGCTTTTTTGGTTGTTTGACAAAGGGTCGTAAATATCCTGGGTTGGACTGGACCTTGTTATGTAGCAAAGATCATTTGAAATTTCTGATTCCTCTGCCTATGTCTCCCAAGTGCTAGGATGACAGACTTGCCACTGTGCTTAGCCATTTTAACCATTTCAGGCTTAAGTTCATCTAATGAGGAGTTACTGATGAACAAAATTGTTCCATTTTATCTTTAAATGAATTACTTTGTTTCTTGTTAATAAATTAGCTCTTAATGACAATCTTCAGATGAAAGTAAACCATCTTACCCTAGAGATCATCCTCTGTGGAGATTTGTCTCCACCCACACTGCTGGGTGGGAATGGCTCCAACAGCTCAAGCTGTGTTATTTTCCCATTGAAGATTAATAGAAAAGAAACATAAATATTCAACAGTAGGTAAGTGACTAATGTACACTTTCTGGACAACTATATACCTTATAGATGCTAATTAAAACATAAAAATGGGATATATTTCTAATAGAAAAACAGATAAGAGAAAACTGAATATATGTGATATAAAATGAGTAAGGAAAATAGAAGCACAATCCCTTATTGTATGCCAAATTATCATGCAAAATTTGGTTCCTTTCTGAACTATTATGTATCATTCATCTGCTTGGTGATCTTGGCCCTGGCAACACATACATTTTAATACTTATAAGCTGTTAAAAAGGTTTTTGGGAGTCAAGTATGGTGACAATATGCCTGTAACTTGGAGACTGAAGAAGGAAAATCATGAGTTTGAGGCCAGCCTATGCTGCATAAGGACCACAAGAAAGTGTTGTGGTGGTGGTGGTAGTATTTTGCACTAGTTGACATACTGTCAGAATGGCAGTAGGCGTTGCAGTACATACATGCTTTTGCCTTCTCAGTTCACTGACAATGAGAAGAGCAAAGGGGCCCCCCCCCCCCCCCCCGTCTGTTTTTCTGCATTTAACGAAAGAATTCAGAAAAAAATGAGCAAGCTTGAACTTATTTAAAGGGAAAAATGATTCTTTTAAAAATAGTAATTTGCCAGTATTTTCCCTTGTATGGGAACTTTTACTATTCCTAAAGTTAATGTCACAAAATGATAGTAATAATAATAACTTCTATTTTGAGGTAAATCCTCCCCACATATGAGTATAAAAGACAGCATTGAATCTGTCATTGCCAAATTACTAGTGAATATATAGTTCAGTTTTGCTGTTCTTGAAACACAATACTACTAAGTTTGTAATGGAATTTCAATGTTATTTTGGTGTGTTTGTGACCACTAAGCTGATTTCTTACTATAAAGCTGTTAGCTCTATGAAACTGTGCAGGACTTCACTGAATAAGTCTGAAGATGCCGAGAGAGAATGGGCCTGGTTTTAACAGAGGACTTTAGAGGGTTTTTTTTTTTTTTTTTTTTTTTTTTTTTTAAACAAAACACTTCTTACTGTGATCACAGACAAGAGAAACGTTTCAAGTGATCTGTAGATTTTTTTCGATGAATGTTTTATGCTTGCTTGCATTTAAACTTGAAATGTATGAACAGAATGAGACAATCCTTACGATCAGAATTGAGGAGTGTTACAGTTGAATGGCCTTGTGCTGTAGCAATAAAATGACCAAGTGCAATGACTTTAATAAAAATCATCTTTCAAAAGTTGCTGCTATGAATATTTTTAGTTACATAATTCTATCCTGTGTAGCCTATCTTGCCTTCAGTAGCTGTTAATGTGATGCAGTTGATGTTTTGACAGTCTAACATTCCCCCCCCCCCCCCCCCCGTGTGTGTGTGTGTGTGTGTGTGTGTGTGTTTCAGAATAATATACTCAGTTTTTATAGGTGCTGTAAAAAAAGAAATGAAAGAAACCATGCTTTTCCCTCAATAAGAAAAATGAATAATAAAAAGAATTGTATTGATACTTGTGTCTGTCTTCATTGGTTATTGTTTATCTTAGTTAATTTTTCTCTTGTGATTAAGCACCATGACTGAGGCGTCTTATAAATGACAGCATTTGGCTCATGGTTTCAGAGAGTAGAGTCCATGACGGCAAGGCAAAGGCATAATAAGAACAGCTGAGCTCTCATGCTGATCCATAGTAGGGGCTGAGAGAGACACACACAGGGGATCCTCAAAGCCTACCCTCAGTGACACACATCTTCCAACAAAGCCACATCTCTCAGCCCTTCCCAAAACAGTCCAGCAGCTGGGCACTACACGTTCAAATATGAGCCTATAGGGGTACTCCTACTCAAACCACCATGTTATTCATCATGGGCTGATTTTAAGGATGATGACATTTATTTGTTTTACTTTGAATTTTTTTTTTAAATGCCCAAGTTATGGCATTGCAAGTTCTGGCTGACTGGATTTTGCCATTCTGAGTAGCAGTTTCATTTGAAAATGCTTGGATAGTTCCTTCCTCACAGGATGGGAGAATTTGAGGTTCTGTGAGGTGTCTTGTGGAGTGCTTGGTTCAGAGCTGGGTCCCATCTGTCAGAAGTGTCTTATTCAGTGGTGGTGTGATGCAGATAAACTAAGATCAGAAGACTTCTTCCTCTAGTTTGGAATACAGTATTCCTTTCTGGAGGTGGAGGTGGGGTTGGCTATTCCATTTGTGGGACATACTTGAAGATAGCAGCCCCTTCAGAGAATACTTAAATGACACCAGTTTGTCCCAGGCTAGGATTTTACAGACTGGAAATAAGAGCTGTCAGTGTGAGAGCTCTCTACATGTATTCTTCTGTCTTCTGAAAGAACTTAAGTTCAGTAGAGCATGGAGTTTGGAGGAAGATCTAAGACTGCCACTTACAAAGGTTGCTCTTGAGGCCTCGGTTGCCCATTTGACTCCCGTAAGCGCACCTCATAACCTTATTGATTTCTTAATTCACAAAGTCCACATGATACAAAAGTGGGCAGTAAAAGGCTGGGGATGTCACTTAGTGGGAGATTACTTGCCAAATATTTACCTGGCCTTGGGTTTAATAGACAGCAGCAGAAATTTTGGCAAAAAAAACAAAAAACAAAAAACAAAAAAACCAAGAAAACAAACAACCCCCCCCAAAAAAAACCAAAAATCCCCACCCCACTCTAAAACCCACGTACCCTGGCTAAGGTTGCCTTAAATGTTTGCTGGAAGACTGAGAAATAAATTTGCTACAGCATCTAAATTAGAAATGAGTAGTCTTAGGTTAAAATTTTCAAGTTTTTGTCATTTTGCTCTTGGACTGAGGATTGAAACTCAAGGATTCACACATTAGGCAAACACTGTTCCACTGATACCTTGAAGCAACCTTTTAAAAATGCCGTATTTTTATTATGTGCATGCCTGTGTAGGTATGAATTATATAGCTTCTCACAGAAGCCACAAGAGGGCATTCAACTTCCTGAATTTATTGGCAGTTG